AACAAACCCCATAATTACTTGACAATAAACGTAAGTATACATTCACATTATCTTCATAACTGGGACTTAAGATTAAATATCTCATTACAACCATCGTTAACCCTGTTATTGTGTGACACTGGATATGGCAGTCAAGAAATAAACAAGATAATCAAAAAACAAGTAAAGAAATAAACAAACATGTCAAGAAATAAACTAAACAAGTCAAGAAATAAACAAACGTGTCAAGAAATAAACTAAACAAGTCAAAAAATAAACAAACATGTCAAGAAATATACTAAACAATTCAAGAAATAAACTATACAAGTCAAGAAATAAACTACAAGTCAAGAAATAAACAAACAAGTCAAGAAACAAACTAAACAAGTCAAGAAATAAACAAACATGTCAAGAAATAAACTAAACAAGTCAAGAAATAAACAAGATAATCAAAAAACAATTAAACAAGTAAAGAAATAAACAAACATGTCAAGAAATAAACTAAACAAGTCAAGAAATAAACAAACGTGTCAAGAAATAAACTAAACAAGTCAAGAAATAAACAAACATGTCAAGAAATAAACTAAACAAGTCAAGAAATAAACAAACATGTCAAGAAATAAACTAAACAAGTCAACAAATAAACAAACATGTCAAGAAACAAACTAAACAAGTCAAGAAATAAACAAATCAATCAAAAAATAAACAAAACAAGTTAAGAAACAAAACTAAATAAATCAACGAACAAACTAAACAAGTCAAAATTGTACTCATCTAGAAATTACCAAATTATGTAGCTTTGCGCTTAACAACAAACAAATTATATATACATGTGTATTAGACATGTAGATAATGGGTGGTTGGGTGACTAAATTATGAATTACGTTCATAGGTGGTGTAATTCTATAGTAGTTGGTACTAAAGAGGTACTAGTCGTGGCCGTCACTGACCGCAACCAGCGGATCTGTAGCTGGACTTTGGGAGCTAGAGTACGTGGATCCCACCAATTATTGGTTCGGTTTCCTGTTATTAACACAAAGTTTTCCATGTGGATGGATAATAGGAAAAACGGCATGTGGTAGGAACGACTGCGGTAATTCTGGAAAATTGTACTCGTGGCACGGCGTAGATATCCTAACAAGAATCGAACCCCGGTTTTCAGCGGTGTCAGCCCTCAAACTTACTACTGTACCACTGGTGAGGGGGGTTACATATAGAGAAATGGAAAACTTTACCTGTGATGGACACGCCTGAGACCACTGGTTTCAGTTCGTCGAGCATTGAGACTTGTTATTAGTTTACTTTTTTTGTTTTTACTTTATCCTGTCGTTACCACGGATACAATGTTTTTAAGACGTTTTAAATCTAGTTTGTTTGTTTCACAATTTATATATTATTCTGTATATCTAACAATCTTTTATATCCATTCTTTGACTTATATCTTTATCATAAATAACCATAAGAAACTCCGTCTAGTTTACCTATACAGTCCTAACTAATTTATAGGGTCAAACATACATTTACCATGACTGTCACTCATTCTTCATCGTTATTTGTTAACTGTTAAATATCTTATACTATTATGTACAGACTTTGTCTTAATTTAACAATTTCTTTACTTTTAGCAGAGGTTTTTTTTTTTACAACTTTGCTTACCTGCTCGTTCAGCAGTGGAGGAAACACAGACAACCGGTTCAGTACCGAGCCTACAAATAAATGATCACGAGTCTTACAGTACAAGAAAGTACCCGGAGGCCTATAGTGGCCTCCCACGGAATGCCAAACCAGGATAACCATAATAGGTATTTCGGCGCAGGTACTTTGCTCGGGTGCTAACAGGCAAGGTCGATGATGAGGATTTGTTTTAGACGGAATACACACTGGTGGAAGGAGACTCGAAGTAATACCCGCTACTTCAATACAGCGGTGATTCATTCGTCAATTAGTCAGTGTGCTAGAGATTATTCTTAGGCCTATTTTTGTGGTAGAGCTCAGTTCTACGGTAACTTTATGGACTTACAACGCAGAAGTACTTACTCTAAAAATAAATCCAAACCTTTTGTTTGTCAAAGAATTATATTGTCGCTTAAATTGATTACTTACAAGATAAATATTTGTTTTTATAATATACCAGTAAATTCATTTCCGCCTCACATATCATTGGACGTGCTTACAGCGCTTCCTAGATTCCCTAGCTAGATTGTGATGAGATACAAAACAAAAAAGCTATATTATTGAGCTCCGGTCCTTTTTCTTTTGGTTACAAAAAATAGCGCCGATTATTCTGGTGAATCGATATCTCCAAGCAAATTTTTTTTTGACAAGGATGCCTTTATATCTAACAAAAACACATTCTTGACATAACGACAGACTCTTGTTCTTATTACGATCTATCAGTGAACCAAGTGATAATGTGATATTAATTTTGTTTTTATACTTTCGTCCAAAGATGCATAGGCTATCTGCACATATCCGTCCCGATTTTTTAACTGATTTGCTAGAGGGAAGGCAGCTAGTCAAAAACAGTCACTGTCAACTTTTGGACTACCCTAGAATTGTGGGATTTGGTCGATACACTTATGGCTCACCCACGACTCCAAGGGTCGCGAAGTGTGAATTATCCAGACACGCTAATCACTAGGCCAATCCTGACTTATTAAAGCCATACAGTATCCATTGATATAGTGATGTTTCGACGGCTAATTCAGAAGTAGTAGTACACTGTATAATACACTAGCATGGGAGGAAGTGGTGGAATATCAAATCTGACCCTCCCAGGTCCCGATAAAGAAGAACTACACTAACGTAGCCTATATATATATATACGTATGTGTGTTTCTATTTGTTTGTTTTTTTTAAGAAACTGTAGTCACCGGGTAATTTGAACAATTACAAAACTGCTTCACTAAGAATTTTTGTTGTTGTTGTTGTTATTAAACATAAAGCTATACCACGGGCTATCTGTTCTGGGCCAACCACCGGTATTGAAACTCGATTTTTAGCGTTATTAACCCTCAGACTTACCGCTGAGCTACCGAAGGATTTTACTAAAAGTAACCAGTATTTTTCGTTTGTTTGCTTTCAAGCAGCTATACGATGTACTCTGCCCGCCGCGGATATCAAAACCTCAATTTTAGTGTTATAAACCCTTAGATCTACCAATGATCCACTAAGAGTAACTAGAGGGTTAACCCTTTTGTTTCTTGTCGCCTATTAGATGGAGGAGACCGAATCTGATGGTGTACGCTTAAAAGCATTAATATCCATGTTACTGATTAAAATCTTAAATATTTATAATAGGGTCGATTAGAACAAAGTTATTAAATTTCTTTCTCATACTTGCCAAGAGATGAAGAAGGGTCTACAAGCTTACGGCTTCCGATCTTTTAAACTGCTTAGAACAGACATGACCTAGTGAATAGCGTGCCAGGTTCCGGATTGGAAGGACCAAGGATCGAGCCGCAATATGACGCTGCACACACTAGACACACTCAGCTGTGGAGAGTTATAATCATAACATGCAATCCCATTGTTTGATTAAAAGAAGTCATGTATGGAATACGTGTTGCCCTTCCACTGGTCAGCAGTTTTATGTCCAAACTTTGGCTCTCTGACCTAAACGTTTAACTCACGTGTCGCATAAGATGGCGTTCAAGTTGAATATAAAATTACGCGACGTTTATTTCACTTAAAGTTAATAAACAATTTGAGTTCACATTTTCTCTCTCTCTCTCTCTTCCCTTTTTTAATTATTATCTTCATCTTACCACAGAGTCACGTTACTTGGCTATTTTGAACGTGATGTGTTTTTTAATTCTGTTTAATATATTTACAAATGTGAGTTTATCATAATTATAGTTCTTTGCGCAATAATATTAAAAAATAACTTAGAAGAATAAGCCTAGACTCGTTATTGGATAATTTTTTCGGCTTTGATATAAGTTATGTCTTGGATTTTACACAAAAAATTGGATAACCTAATAATCTTTAAGTGAATTTTGGATTCAGTTTTGTATGACATTTTAACTTTTTTTGCGGTTAACTACACTTATTGGCTCGTGCAGAGAATTCAGACTTAAGGTTCAGAAATAGTAGTGCCCCCCAGTGGCACATATTTACATTAGTCCTTTTTCGAGAAAGATATAAGTTAGGAAGTAATCGGAACTAAAATTAAAAAAATATATTTATTTAAAAAAAAGGACATAGTTAAACGTTTCAAAATCCTAAGATTCCATCTTCTGTATATGAGGCAAATATCAACACTTTACATTAATCCCTAAACATCATTGAAATTACAATGCCACATTTAACAATAATTAACTAACAATTTAATATATTTGGACATAAAAAATAAATTACGAAAGCCGACTAGTAGTGGCTCAAGTAATAAACTATCAAAAGGCTTTTTAGGCTTAACAAATGTAATTAGTGTGTAATGGCCCTGTAGATATTCTAATGACATTTTCTTTGTTTCCATTATGGTTTACAAACCAGGGGCGTAACTGATATCGTTTTAGGCCTTACAAATGACACAGACTGAACCCATTTCAATCAAGACTTTAGCTTCAAAGCGTTATTATGTTTTAACACAAAATGTTTTCTACGATTAGGAGCGCATAATCGCATCCAAACTGGAACGATAGAGTTTGTTTGATTTAGAGTAAAGTAACATTTTGTTATCTGCTGTGTCCACTGGGGGAATCGAACCCCAGATTTGAGCAATGTAAGGCCGTAAAATTACCACTGGACGGGAAGAGTAGAGATTAATAGCAAAAAACGTTTATAAAGGTTACATCGTACCTTGGAAAAAACAAATAAAATTAATATATTTAGTTATATATATATAAATATTCCTGCGATTTTATGTGAAATGTTAAAACACAGTTCTTCAAATAAGATGGCATTTAAAAGCAAATTGAA